AGGTCCTTGGAGAGGGACATCATGCTTGGGAGGGTGGAGGGACAACGCAGGAGGGGAAGACCCTCTATGAGATGGATTGATTCGGTGACTGGGATAATCGGGATGGGTGTGTCAGAGGCGGTGCGGTTGGCGCAGGATAGAGCAGGGTTTAGGGCTGTTGTGGTTTGCAGCACCACTGGTAGAGGAAGAACCGTAAGAGGTAACATGATGGCGTGCCAAGAAGTCCCTGCTGACCAGGCCATCGGTGGCCAAGATCTTGAAGAATCCATTGCGAAACCTCTGGCCAATGAAGGCATAGATGAGGGGGTTGAGGCAGCTGTGGAGGAAGCCCAGAATCTCAGTGGCTTCCAGAGCCCAGTCAATGTCTTTGTGGTGTGCACAGGTCCCCTTGATGACCCTAGTCCTCATGAGGGTGTCTGTGACCAGAACCAGGTTATAGGGCAACCAGCAGAGCAGGAAGACAAATACAACAACAAAGATGACCCTCATAGCATGATACTTCTGCTTCATATGGGCCTCGAGCAGAGTGCACAGGGTGAATCCATAACAGAACAGCATAATCAGCAGTGGAAGGAGGAAGCCACAGTTCTGGGGCAGAATCCGAAGCATCAGCCTCCACTTCGTTGTATCGCTACCGAAGTCCTGGTAGCAGACAGTGAGGCTAGAATAAGATAGAGTAATAGCTCTGTGGAAAAGGAAGAAGGGTAAGGATAGTATCAGAGAAAATCCCCAGATGCCTAAACATATATACTTGACCAGGTGGCGTTTCTGGATCAGCTTGTGCGTGGCATGGACAATGGCCAGGTAGCGATCCACGCTGATGGAGGCCAGCAGTAAGATACCACTGTAGAAGTTGACTTCCTTCAGGAGCGAGACTGTCTTGCACAGAGGTGTGCCAAAAGTCCATCCATTGATCTTGGATGCAGCCCAGATAGGGAGTGTCAGAGCAAAGAGCAAGTCAGCTATGGCCAGGTTCAGCAGGTAGATGTCCGTGACAGAGGAGCTGACACGATTGTATAAAATGACCAGCACCACAAAGGAGTTTCCTAGCACACTCAGGAGGAATACCAAGGCTTAAACGGTGGCCACAGCATGCTTGCTGAATGTCTCGGTTTCTGTAGCACAGGGGCTAGTATCTTGTTCCATGAATGGCATCTCAGTGTCATTAAAATACTCAAAACTGTCCTGCAGATCTTTATAATCCAAAGTGAAAACTTCTTGGGTTTCAGCCATGGTCTAGTTGAAATAGTAGAAGGAAAGAAATGTGACTTAGTAACTGAGTTTCAAGTACACTTTTATCAAAGATGCAATAGCAGTTACTAGGATATCTTTAGCTTCTATTGGTGTGAAGGCCAGGAAACCTCACTCTCACCCTTGGCACCAACTTGGATGGACATTTTTAGAGTTTGGCTTCACATTGTTATCACCCTTCCATCACTGGTCTGACTGTGGGAGAAGAAGGAAAATCCTTTGCCCTTGGTTGGCCATACAGTTGCCTCACCTCTACCTGGTCTTTCTCTCACTTTCTCTATTCTCAGCCATAGCTGTGCATTCAGATAGGAGGACCAGGCTGGTCTTTTTTTTTTCCTATAATTATATTTTATTAATTTTCATAAACATTTACAGAGATTTTGGGTTTCCATTCATTCATTGTTGCACTATTCTCT